CCCGCCACAATGCCCGGCCATTTTTTTAGTTGCAGCCATCATTGTTGTTTGGCGGGCCTGGGCTGGGGATTCGAACCCGCCACCTTGGGTGTATGTGGCTGGCACCTTAGCCGCTTGAGCCACAGGCGCCGAGCCGTCTAGCCTGTTCTTAAGGCTTTCCACTATGTTTTATATTTCCTTGAATGAATTTTTCATCTCTAGAAACTCTACTCGATTGATTTTTTTTTTTTTTTTAATAATTTGATTTCTTTCTGAGGTAGGTAGATTGCCTGAGCTCGAGAGTTAGAGACCAGGCCAGGCGTGGTGGCTCACGCCTATAATCCCAGCATTCTGGGAGGCCAAGGCGGGCAGATTGCCTCAGCTCACAAGGGCAGGCTTGGTTCTAATAGCTCAGCGGTTAGGGCACCAGGCACATACACTGGAGGTGGCAGGTTGGAACCCAGCCTAGGCCAGCTGAACAACAATGACAACTACAATATAAAAATATCTGGGTGTTGTGGTGGGCACCTGTAGTCCCAGCTACTTGGGAGGCTGAGGGCAAGAGAATCGCTTAAGCCCAAGAGTTTGAGGTTGCTGTGAGCTATGACGCCATTGCACTCTACTGAGGGTGACATGGTGAGACTGTCTCAAAAATAAATAAATAAATAAATAAAAATAGCTTGGCGTTATGGTGGGTGCCTATAGTCCCAGCTACTTGACAGGCTGAGGCAAAAGAATCTCCTGAGCCCGAGTCCAAGGTTGCTGTGAGCTGTGATGCCATGGCACACTACCAATAGTGACAAAGTGAGATTCTTTCTCAAATAAAAGAAAAGAAAAGATAGAGACTGCCTGAGCAAGAGTGAGACTCCATCTCTAAAAATAGCTAGGCATGGCAGGCACCTGTCCTGTAGTCTCAGCTACTTGGGAGATTGAGGCAAGAGGATCACTTGACCCCAAGAGTTTGAGGTTGCTGTGAGCTGTGATGCTACGGCACTCTACCGAGGGTGAGAAAGTGAAACTCTGTCTCAAACAAATAAATAAAGTCAAACTAGAACCTAGAGTCTTTAGTAAGCTAGAAGAAAAATCACATTAACAAAAAATAATTTGATTTCTTTATTCATTTCCTGCATTATTATTTTTGGTTTGTGTTGGGTTTCTGTTTTTTCTTGTATTTCATTGAGCTCCCTTACAATCGATTTTTAAAATTCTTTAACAGTCATTTTAATATTCTCATTTTGGTTGTTTTCCATTGGTATGAGTTATTGTTTTCTTTGGGAGGGTGTGCTTTCACTCTGATTTTATATGTATCCCAAGATCTTTTGCTGACTTCTCATCTGGGGAAGCCTTTGCTTCTTGTTTTGGATTGCTGTAAAATAGCTTGGTTATTGAAGCCCCATCTGAGATGCCATTTGAACAGAGACTTGAAGAAAATGAGCCATAAGAACATTTGGTGTCTAGTATTGTGCAATCCAGGTATCAACAGAAAGCAGATGGCATTTGAAACAGGGTAATTCAAGAAGAGTTTAGGCAGGGTATAGTGTCTCATGCCTGTAATCCTAGCACTCTAGGAGGCCAAGGCAGCAGGATTGCTTGAGGCCAGAAGACCATCCTGAGCAAGAGAGAGACTCCTCCTGTACAAAAAAGAGAAAAAAAATTGATCAGGCAAGGTGGCTCATGCCTATAATCCTAGCAGTCTGTGAGCCTGGGGTGGGTGGTTTGCTTGAGATCAGCTTGAGCAAGAGAGAGACCCCAGCTACTTGGGATTCCGAGGCAAGAGGATCTCTTGAGTGCAAGAATTTGAGGTTGCTGTGAGCTATGATGCCAAAGCACTCTACCCAGGGTGACAAAGTGAGACTCCATCTCAAAAAAAAAAAAAAGGTGGGGGGCTGGGTATAGTAGTAAGTGCCTGTAGTCCCAACTACTCAGGAGGCTGAAGCAGGAGAATCACTTAAGCTTAGGAGTTTAAGATTGCAGTGAGATATGATGATATATTGCACTCTAGCTTGGGCAACAGAGTTAAGACTCTGTCCCAAAAAGTTTTAAACAGAGAAGTGTTTATTTTCAAAGAGGCTATGTATGAAGGTGTGACTATTAGGGAACCACAAGGATTAGAGAATTAACCTGGGGCTTAGAGGCAGTATAGTTCTAAAAAGAGGCAGTTGCAGTTATTGTGGCACCTGGGGGAAGGAAGTCCCAGAGTTGGCCTCTTTGATGGAGCCATGACCTTCAGTTAAAGGACGTAGCTAACTCAAGATGAGCCTTCCAGGAGCAAGCCTGATCTATTCAGCTCCTTCCCAATTGGGCTTCCTCTTGGCCACATCCAACCAGAAGCCTGTTAGCAGAGGTCATAAGGTCAGCTTTCTGGGATAGAGAGCAGCCTAGAGAAGACAGGAGTGTGGCTCTGGAGAAGCAAAAAGAGTATTTGGCATAGGCATTCCAGTTTGGAAGAACAACAAATCCAGAGCTCCTCAGTACAAGCTTGCCTGGTGGGTTTGAGGAACATCTGAGATGCAGTGGACCCTTGCAGCTTACAGCTGTCTTTTGTGTGCAGATGGATGAGTTGCAAGGATCAGTGAAGCAGCTGCAGGCCTTTATGGATGAAAGTACCCAGTGCTTCCAGAAGGTGTCAGCACAGCTTGGTAAGCTTGTCTCTATGGCAATCAGTGCTTGGGTTTTCTTTATACGACAGCATTTGGGATACCAACTGCCCTTCAAAAAATACGGTCCCAGGGAGTAAAACCTTTATCAGGTGATTGTCCCAGAAAGTAAAACCTATGTCAGGTGATTTGTTTTTCTCTCCGCAAGAAGTGTTATGTTATGGACACTCAGAGTTGATGGAAAATTTCTAGATATTATTTCCACAGAAGCACAGTAGACTAAGAATTAAATCCCCATGACCTATTGTTTTGATAGATTTTTTTTTTTTTTTTGAGACAGTCTTAACTATATTGCCCTCTGTAGAGTGCTGTGGCATCACAGGAACCTCAAACTCTTGGGCTTAAGCGAGCTTGCCTCAGCCTCCCAAGTAGCTGGGACTACAGACACCTGCCACAACGTCTGACTATTTTTTTGTTGCAGTTGTTGTTGTTTAGCTGACCTAGGCCGGATTTGAACCCGCCAGCCTCAGTGTATGTGGCCTGTGCTGTAACCTCTGTGCTACAGGGACTGAGCCATGTTTTGATAGATTCTTTTTTTTTTTTTTTTTTTGAGACAGAGCCTTAAGCTGTTGCCCTGGGTAGAGTGCTGTGGCATCACAGCTTACAGCAACCTCAAACTCCTGGGCTCAAGTGATTCTCTTGTCTCTGCTTCCCAAATAGCTGGGACTTCAGGCTCTTGCAACAACGCCTGGCTATTTTTTGGTTGCAGCCATCATTGTTGTTTCGGGGGCCCAGGCTGGATTTGAACCCACCAGCTCAGGTATATGTGGCTGGCACCTTAGCCACTTGAGTCACAGGTGCCAAGCCTTTTGATAGATTCTTGCCTGAAGAAATAACTCACCCATTGTATCCATTGCCTTTTCCCTCTTCATTTGTCAAGGCTCCACTAAATGATATTGACAGTACTCCTCCATACCTTTTTCTGACCTCCTCCCAGCCCTAATTATTTGCTATACACACCTTCATTTCCTTTCTTTTTTTTTGCTGGGGCTGGGTTTGAACCCACCACCTCCTCCAGCATATGGGACCGGCACCCTACCCCTTTGAGCTACAGGCGCTTCCCTACACACCTTCATTTTCTTATTCATCACATTGTAATTGTAGTAGTGGCTGACTTTATTATCAGACAGCCATCTCCTTGAGGACAGAGACTCTTATTTGTCATTGTAAATCCCTTCAATGTCTGACACACTGTCCACACTTTGTTTTTAATAAATGTTATGTGAATCCAATTGAAATTTGATTGTTGGCCCCTTTTCTCTTCAGGGAAGAGAAGCGTGCAACAATTAGATCCCTCACCAGCTCGGAAACTACTCAAGCTTCACTTTCAGAACCTGCCTACTACACATGGATCTGGATCTGGTCAGTGACCTTACACAGCTTTTTTGCCACAAGGTGCTCAGGAGGAGAAGAACGGGAAGAGTGTCCTACCACATGGTGACAGCACGGAGATTTCTGCCCTGTTACTTTTGAGGATAATTGGCTGACTATAGAGCACTTTTACTTTTTACTAAAAGTGATAGAATTTATACATCCAAAAGAATGTCATATAGACATTTTTTCTAGGAATGTACAAAATGCTTGAAATTTCTTTTCTGAAATGACCTTCAGAACTAGTGGCCCATTCTTTTATATATCCTTCATGGTCAGGAATCTTTCAGTTTTTGAAACAACCAAAGGCATTTAGAACCAAGTCTAATGAAACATTTTAGGAGCCAGGTTGAGTTTGGTTGTACAAGAATGAGACTAATTTTCTAGTGTGGCTGTGCAGGCGATTTTAAATAGAAGAGTTTTGAGCATTTTGTGAATTAATGGGATTCATATATCAATTCATAAGATGTCCAATTTGAAGGAAATACCACTCATTCTCTGTCCAGGCCAGTCTCGAATTTCTATTGCTATTGTATATAGTGTGTTCTAGTTTTTATATTCAGTTTATCTCCTAAATCCTGGATTCATAGCAAGAAGGGGCTAAGTACTACTTTTAATTGTTCTTTGCAATCTGCATTATAAAATTACTCATTATTAAAAGCTTTCCCTTGTCTTTGTATATGTTTTGAGTATATTAAAAAATATTTTATTTTAATATTTATTTATTTATTATGAGACAGAGTCTCAAGCTGTTGCCCTGGGTAGAGCACCATGGCATCACAGCTCACAGCAACCTCAAACTCTTGGGTTTAAGCAATTCTTTTGCCTCAGCTTCCCAAGTAGCTGGGACTACAGGTGCCCACCACAACGCCCCGCTACTTTTTGGTTGTAATTGTCATTGTTTGGCAGCCTGGGCTGGATTTGAACCTGCCAGCTCCGGTATATGTGGCTGGCTCCCTAGCCACTTGAGCTATAGGCACGGAGCCTTATTTATTTATTTATTTTTTGAGACAGTCTGAAGCTGTTGCTGTGGGTAGAGTGCTATAGTGTCACAGCTCACAGCAACCTCCAACAAGTATGTTAAAAAATTAAAAGGACAGGGAAGGTTCAACAGAAAATAGGATTCTTTCCCAAGCTGCTGAAATTAATAGTAATATGGAGATATGCCTCAGCATTAAATACTAATAAGACACCAGCTTATTGGCTCGGTGCCTGTGGCTCAAGCAGCTAAGGCGCCAGCCACATACACCTGAGCTGGTGGGTTCAAATCCAGCCCGAGCCTGCCAAACAACGATGACTGCAACCATAAATAGCTGGGCGTTGTGGCAGGTGCCTGTAGTCCCAGCTACTTGGGAGGCTGAGGCAGGAGACTTGCTTGAGCCTAGGAGTTGGAGGTTGCTGTGAGCTGTGATGCCATAGCACTCTACCCAGGGTGACAGCTTGAGGCTCTTGTCTCACAAAAAAAAAAACCCCAAAAACCCAGCTTATTTATTGTTATATTTCTTATTCTCTGATCAACACCCATTTCATTTAAACACTTAGTCATGTAATCTTAAGTCTTTTTTTTTTTTTTTTTTTTTTTGAGACAGAGCCTCAAGCTTTCCCCCTGGGTAGAGTGCTGTGGCATCACAGCTCACAGCAACCTCCAACTCCTGGGCTTAAATGAGTCTACTGCCTCAGCCTCCCAAGTAGCTGGGACCACAGGGGCCCACCACAACACCCGGCTATTTTTTTGGTTGCAGCCGTCATTGTTGTTTGGCGGGCCCGGGCTGGATTCGAACCCACCACCTTAGGTATATGTGGCTGGCACCTTAGCCACTTGAGCCACAGGCACCGAGCCTAATCTTAAGTCTTAAAAGCACCAGTTCTTAAAAATTGATAGTCTAGGTCCAGTGGCTCACACCTATATTCCTAGCACTTTGGGAGGTCCAGGTGGGAGGATTGCTTAAGGCCAAGAGTTCTAAATTAGCTTGAGCAAGACTCTGACTCTCCCCTCCCCAAAAAAAAACAAAACCAAAAAACCACTCTAGCCCAGGAAACAGAGCACGGCCCTATCTCAAATAAGAAAAATAAGAATTAGTATTTCCTTCCTTTGACCTCCATGCATTTTGTTTGTTTGTTTGTTTGTTTATTTATTTTTTTGCTGACAGGGTCTCAGTCTATCACCCTGACTAGAGAGCTGTGGCATCATCATAGCTCACTGCAACCTCAAACTCAGGCTGAGGTGATGCTCCTGCGTCAGCCTCTCAATTAGCTGGGACTACAAACATATGCCACTACACCTGGCTAATTTTTTCTATTTCTAGTAGAGACAGGGTTTAGCTCTGGCTCAGGCTGGTCTCAAATTCCTGAGGTTAAGCAATCTTCCCACCTTGGCCTCTCACAGTGCTAGGATTACAGATGTAAGCCACATGCCTGAATTGCACCCATTTTTTCTTTATATATTTTCTTAGTTCCTGCTGTATGCCAGGCACAGTTCTAGGAACTAGAGAGAAGGCAAAGACACCATAAGCAACATACAGGCCCCCCCTACTCATCCACTGCCAGCACCTAGCAAAAGCTAGGATGAGTAGGATGGGACTGTATGTTGCTTATGATGTCTGGAATATGGGTACTGGGCATGTTAGCTCACATCTGTAATCTCAGCACTTTGGGATGCTAAGGTGGGAGGATCACTTGAGGCCAGAAATTTGAGACTGGCCTGGGCAACATAGACCTTGTTTCTAAAAAGAAAAAAATTAAAATAGATAAGGGATTTCTCCTCATGATGCTCACAATCTATTGGGGATACAGGAACAAGAAGAGAAAACTACAGAAGAGCTATTTTAGCTGATTTAAGGATGAATGAGTTAAATGGGAGAAACATTTCAGGCAAAAGGATCAGCAGTTTTCAAGGCTTGAGAGGGAGAGTAGAGTCTTCTGGGACACTTAAAAAAAAAAAAAAAACAACTAATAAAGCCGGAGTGCTGGGGAACAGTGGAACAGTGGCCTGAGATGAAGATAATCGAAAGTCATTGAAAAGCTTTAAGAGGAGAGACGCTGGGCACAGTGGCTTACACCTGTAATCCTAGCACTCTGGGAGGCTGAGGCAGGTTGATTGCTTGAGCTCACAAGCGAGTTCAGTCTGAGCAAAAGTGAGACCCCATCCTTAAAAATAGCTGGTTGTTGTGGTGGGCACCTATAGTCCCAGCTACTCGCGAGACTTGAGCCCAAGATTTTGAGGTTGTTGTGAGCTATGATACCACGGCACTCTACCAAGGGTGACAAATGAGACTCTGTCTCAAAAAAAAAAGGAGACAGGATTAGAATTTTAAAATTTTATTTGTAGGGCCAGGCAAGGTAGTTCACCCCTATAATCTTAGTACTCTGGGAGGCTGAGGCAGGTGGATTGCCTGAGCTCATGAGTTCGAGATCAGCCTGAGCCAGAGCAAGACCTCGTCTCTAAAAAAAATAAGTAGGCATTGTGGCGGGCGCCTGTAGTCCCAACTACAAACGAGAGTTAAAATTAGAAAGTTACTGGCTGGTCTAAGTGCAGTGGTGTTTACAATTAATTGATCACAACCAGGTAGATTCCTTTGTTCCTTCTCCCACTGCGTCACTTGACTAGCCTTTAAAAAAATAAAATCGAGAGTTACTGATATCTAGTTACTGAAGACTTCAAAATGAATGATACTGTCCAGGGTAGAGCAAGAAGGGAAACTTGAGGCACCCTTAAGGAAACCCAACATTTAAGACTCAAGAGGAATGGTGTTAATTGCCTACTCAGAAGTAGAGTAGTATAAGGGAAAGAGTATAGAGTTTGTAGTTAACCTTCCTTTCTTATGCTCAATTTTCTTATCTGTAAGAGCAGGATAGATCATTCTCTGAAGGTAATTATACTTCCCCCATTTGATTATAAGGGATTTGTTCAAATTCAATAAAAAGTTTTGCGTCTTCAACATCTAAACATGATAAAACACAGAAATATTATCATTCAACTCTGAGCATTTTACATGGATATTATCATTTAGTCTTTACCACAACCTGTAACTATTTTTTATTTTTTTGAGACAGAGTCTCACTTCGTCACCCTCAGTGGAGTGCCATGGTATCATAGGTCTCAGTAACCTCAAACTCTTAGGTTCAAGTGAATTTCTTGCCTCAGCTTCCCCAATAGCTGGAACTACAAGTGCTGGCCATAACGCCCAGCTATTTTTTGGATACTGGGTCTAGCTCTTCCTCAGGGTGGTCTCAACCTCCCAAGCCCAGACAGTCCACCTGCCTCGGCCTCCCAGAGCGGTAAGGTTACAGGTGTGAGCCACTGTGCCTGAACAACTTTTTTTTCTTGTCATTATAGATGAGGAACGCAGGTATGCATGGAAAGAGTAAGTACTTTAACCAAGGATATACAGATAGTATGGGAGGGTGAACTAGAATCAATTTGGCATTTAATAAATGTTAACAGATAAACCTATGTCCTATAATAAAGGGCTATGCTCAATGAATATTTTCCCTCTACCCAAATGTGTTTCAGAATTGGGCTTGATAATATTTCTGCCTTCTGAGATATTTAGAATGTTTGTTCCATTTGCACAATTTAGTTAATATTTTCATTTTAGTCAGTGATACTTAATTTTTTTTTTTTTTTTTTTTGAGACAGAGCCTCAAGCTGTCCCCCTGGGTAGAGTGCTGTGGCATCACAGCTCACAGCAACCTCCAACTCCTGGGCTCAAACGAGTCTCCTGCCTCCGCCTCCCAAGTAGCTGGGACCACAGGCGCCTGCCACAACGCCTGGCCATTTTTTGGTTGCAGCCGTCATTGTTTGGCGGGTCCGGGCTGGGGATTCGAACCCGCCACCTTAGGTGTACGTGGCTGGCGCCTTAGCCGGTTGAGCTATAGGTGCCGAGCCGAGTGATACTTAATATTAAAGAAATAATGGATTAATAAACTTTTTAAAGGAAGAGTTATGTGGGTTTTTAAGTTATTTAAATTGTTGAGTTATTAACCATAATATATGCAGTCGTTCTGGAAAAAAAAATTCCATTTCTTATACTGCATTCAAGAAAGTAGATGTTGGGCGGCGCCTGTGGCTCAGTGGGTAAAGCGCCGGGCCCATATACCGAGGGTGGTGGGTTCAAACCCGGCCCTCGCCAAACTGCAACAAAAAATAGCCGGTTGTTGTGGTGGGGGCTTGTAGTCCCAGCTACTCCGGAGGCTGAGGCAAAAGAATCACCTAAGCCCAGGTGTTGGAGGTCGCTGTGAGCTGTGACAACACAGCAGTCTACCCAGGGCGATAAGGTGAGACTCTGTCTTTGAAAAAAAAGAAAATAGATGTGGTGGCTGGCAGTTTAATAGAGGTGATACAATGGAGGACTGGGAATTAGGAGCCTTGATTCTCGAATTCTAGGTTTGGGGGGGGGTTGCTTTGTTTTTGAGCAAAACACTTTGTTGCCCTCAGTACACGCCCGGCTATTTTTAGCGATGAAGTCTTGCTCTGGCTCAGGCTGGTCTCGAACCTGTGAACTCAGGCAATCCACACGCCTTGGCCTCTCAGAGTGCTAGGATTACAGGTGTGAGCCACCGCACCCGGCTCCTAGTTTTTCTATTTTTTGTAGAGAAGGGGTCTGGCTCCTGCTCAGGCTGGTCTTGAACTGCGCTCAAGCCATCCAGCGACTTGGCCTCTCAGATTACTCGAATCCTAGCTCTTTTTTTTTTTTTTTTTGAGACAGTCCCACTTTATCACACTCGGCGGTAGAGTACTGTAGCATCACAGCCCAGAGCAACCTCCAGCTCCTGGGCTCAGGCGATTCTCTTGCCTCAGCCTCCTGTGTAGCTGGGGCTACTGGCGCCCTACTCACTGAGCCACAGGCGCCGCCCTCGAATCCTACTTATTAAATTACTGTGTTTATTCAAAACACAAAAATTTACTAAGGCCTACGTACCAAGCATTGTGCTAGGCGCTATGTGACTGATCTTGAGTATGGGTCTGAGGCCTCCATGAAAGGCTTCAATGAGATGCGATTTAGGGGAAGGAAGGGAGCCTACCCAGACGCAGCACTCAGCGCCCCTCCCTCCCGGCAGCTCGTAAGAATGAGATTCTCCTCCCAGGAGACTCAGCAGCAAGAAAACTACATCCAACTTGGCGCCGCCGGCCCCTCTCGGCTGGGCCTCCATCTCCTTGGTAGTTCCCGAGGCGGGCGGAAACAGCGCGCCTGCGCGGGCCCTTGCAGACTCAGCGCGCCTGCGCGGCCGCAGCGCCTCCCCCGCCCCTCTCGCCGCCGCTGCCGCCGGCGTCGCCACCGCTACTGCACTGACGGCGGGTGCTCGCGCCTCAGGTGAGTGAGTGAGTGAATGAACGCCTGAGCCCGGCCCGCGGGGGGCGCGCGGCGCTGCATGCGGGGGCGTAGCTCCTTCCTGCTCTTTCCCTGTATCGTCTTCGCTTCACCGCGGGGCTCAGGGACCAGGTTCTGCCCGCTTCCTGTGGACCCCCAGGGCTCTCCGCCCCGCCCGTGGGACCCAGGTCAGCCCGGCCTCCTCGGCTGCTCCCCCAGTCCATCCCTCCAGCGACAGCGGGCGGGCGGCTAGGGACGAACCTCCCTCCAGCGCCAACACCTTAGCTGCAGGGACGTCAGGCCCCCAGCCCCCGCAGTCGCGACCCCCTTTCCCACTCCTGCTCCGCCGCCGGCGGAGCTCGGTGGGCCTCTGGGTTGAACATCTATTTACACCGCCCGCTCTGAGCTCAGCGGCTTGGAAGGGGAGCTGTGAGCACTTCTTCCAACCGTGTGGCTCCGAAGCAGCAGAGGGCAGCCTCTCATGGGACCCTAGACGACCCTTCGGGAAAGAGGCTTCTTAGCTCCACTTTACAGCCAAGGAAACTGAGGCGCAGAGAGCTGAAGTGCCATGCCCAAGGTCATGCTTCTGACTAGAGGCAGGGCTAGCTCTCCAACTCAGGGTCTCGGGCTTTCCGGCCAGTGCAGTTGGAATTTGATCTCGAAACCTTTGAAAAAATTGAAATACATTTGTCATCACCGAAGTTGTTCTTAAACGTTATAAAAGTAGGCTGCAGAAAGATTATTTTCACGTTTTCGGAGTATAATTGGGGGCGTTACTGTAACATAGTAGCGGTGTTAATAAGAGCTAACGTTAATCCAGTGCTATGTGTCTTGCTAAGCGTTTATTAAGATTATCTCGGTACATCATCACTGCTCAATCCAATGCTCCCTCTTTGCTTTTCGTGAAACCCCTTTTTCTGCAGAGCTGACCTCTCTTGTCACAGGTAGACTAGGAAGCTCATGGTTTAGGAGGCAGGGTAGCTCTCCTTAGGTGGCTTATTGGGAGAACAGGAATAAGCCTTGCCTGCTTGCATCCAGATTTTGCCCCAAGCCTGGCCCCCAGGGGATAAAAGTATTCTTCCTTCTCTGGCTGCGGGGAAAGCAGGACTGGGCTAGCTGGGCTGGATGGAGTTGGAGGTGACAGAGCAGATTTGGCAAGCACTCACCTCATTCTGGGACTTTCTGGCTCTGCTCCAATCCCGGGCTTGAACATTTCAGTATTTAAGATAAAGTAAAAAGAGAAAGAACGTTGACACCGTGGTTCTGAATATAAGAAACCTCTCATGAGTTAAAGTTCCAAATGAACAGCTATAAAAATATGTAAATGTTTCTCCCCCAAAATAACTAGCTCAAACTGTCTTTTTTCTCCCTTAGCAAATCCTCCTCCACATTTCAAAGGCTCCACTATATCACCACCTTCTCTGTGAAGCCTTCCCTGCTTGATTTTCCCAAATAGAATCACACAAACACTAGGGTCTTACTTTCAGTCTTACCTCTAGGTCTGTTAGTCCTTTAAGGTCAGGGGGTCATCTTGGCAACCCTAAATGCCTGGCTTAGTAGACCTTTGGTAAAGATACAGTAAATTTCCACTGCTGCTTTTTATTACTTTCCTGTTGCCCTTCCATTCTTCCTTCTTGCCCTTCACTTTCTCTTTGCTGTTCCTTCCTTTGGATTCAACTTCTTGTCATCCCTCACCACTCAAAGGCCTCTGTCTACCCTGTTGTTTCTGAAACCTTGCAGTTAAGAGTCTTGTGAAGCCTGTTTATCCCCAACAGTGGAGTTGGTATTTATTGCTTAAAGGTGCAGGGAAGTTTTAATTTGCATATTGCAGTTGATAGCCTGATGCTTATCTCCTTTTAGTCCCTAAGTGCATGAGAGATACATTTTTACATTTTTTATGCCTTGTAGTTGACTGCCCCTGGTGATACCAGAATAATCACCATCATTATCATATATCATTACATGGCATTTATAATAATAAATATTCAAAAGAGTCCTTTGGGAGGCAGCAGAAATGTGCATGGTTTCTTTATATAAATGTAGCTTCTTAAAGAGTTTTTCCAAATAATTTTCTGCAAATATATTGAACTGTTAAGTGTAAGGCGTAGTATGATACTGGAGTTAGTGGAAGATTCATAGGTGAATCAAACATGGATCCTACTGCAAGAGTTTAGCTCATCGGGAAACACTGTATCTAACTGTAAGTCAAGTCTTAAAATTGCCATATTAGTGTTACAAGCTAAGCCATATTAGAGTATAATGGAATAAGATATTCCAACATGGGTCGTTTTGTGAAATCTTATGTTATTGAAGCTGAAAAGAAGCATTAAGCATTGAGTCCAGCCTTCTCACTTTTATAGACATCATCTTGAGCAATGAACTTGTCCAAGGTCATGGAACTAGGGCTACAATTTGAGATTACAGACTTTTTATCCATTAAAAGTTTGTCAGTGTTTCTTCTCTCAGTGAATTTATCCTTAAAGACATTTACCAGCAAATCCATTAAAATTTCATTTATGTCTAGGTGCACTGGCTCATGCCTGTATTCCTAGTACTCTGGGAGGCTGAGGAGTTCAGGACCACCCTGAGCAAGAGTGAGACCCTATCTCTACTAAAAACAGAAAAACTGGGCAGCGCCTATGGCTCAGTGAGTAGGGTGCCGGCCCCATATACCAAGGGTGGTGGGTTCAAACCCATCCCCAGCCAAACTGCAACAAAAAAATAGCCGGGTGTTGTAGCAGGTGCCTGTAGCCCCAGCTACTCGAGAGGTTCAGGCAAGAGAATCGCTTAAGCCCAAGGAGGTGGAGGTTACTGTGAACTGTGACGCCACGGCACTCTACCAAGGGTTAATAAGTAAAACTCTGTCTCAAAAAAAAAAAAACCAGAAAAACTATTGAGGGGGCGGCGCCTGTGGCTCAAAAGGATAGGGCGCTGGCCCCATATGCTGGAGGTGGTGGGTTCAAACCCAGCCCCGGTCAAAAACTGCAAAAAGAAAAAAGGAAAGAAAAACTAGTGAGGTATAGTGGTGCATGCCTGTAGTCCCAGCTACTCGGGAGGCTGAGGCAAGAGGATTCGATTCCTTGAACCCAGGAGTTTGAGGTTGCTGTGAATTATGATGCCATAGCACTCTACCCAGGTCAGCAGAGTGAGACTCTGTCTCAAAAAAGAAGAAAATTATTTATGTGCTTTGATCAGGGGCAGGGGAAGAGTGATAAGAAATATGATTCATTTAAAAAGAAAGAAATCTGATTCATATCTTCAAGGATGTTACAGTCTTTTGGAGGAAGAGTAAAGAACAGTTCTCTAGGCTTGGCGCCTGTGGCTCAGGTGGCTAAGGCGCCAGCCACATACACCTAAGGTGGTGGGTTCGAATCTAGCTCTGGCCCGCCAAAAACAACAATGACGGCTGCAACCAAAAAATAGCCAAGTGTTGTGGTGGGTGCCTGTGGTCCCAGCTACTTGGGAGGCTGAGGCAGGAGACTTGCTTGAGCCCAGGAGTTGGAAGTTGCTGCGGGGTGGGGTGCCCCCGCCCCCCCCCCCGGGGGGCAACTGGGGGGTTTTTTCTCAAAAAAAAAAAAAAAAAAAAAGAACAGTTCTCTAACATTGAAAACAGATACCTAATTGTTAATTTGTATGGTAGAGGGATTAGGTGTGTTGCATAAGTTAGGGAAAGAGAGACAAGAAGGATCAGTATGAGCTGCAGTGGTGAGACCACGTTGAGGAAGAATTAGGACCTTCTGGGCCTTGACAATAGAGTCAGAGTTAATTAACAAGACAAGGAAAGCATATTGAAGCATGGTTGATAAAATTGAGATAGGATAGCAATGCCTACCTTATTTAAGGGATAATAAAAAAAAAATTGCCTCAGCTAGATTAAAGTGATGGTTCTCAACCATCAGAGTCACTTAGGGAGTTTAAACTCATATGGTTGGATCCCACTTCTAGCGTTTCTGATTGATTATATCTGGAGTGGGGCCCTAGAATTTGCAGTTTTAACAGGTTCCTAGGTGAGGCTGATGCTGTTAGTCCAAGTTCCACACTTTGAGAACCACTGTGTTAGAAAGTTGAGAAGCTGGTCAGAAACTGTCAACTTGTTTTACTGTGTATGTCTTACATTAGCATCATAGGAGAGTTTTAGAAAGATACATACCATAACTATAGTGGTAGTCACTTGTGGGAGTGGGATTTAGAGGGTTGGAGAACTGACTTTATCTTATACCATTCTATATTAGTTTTGCATTGTGCACATACTGCTTTTGTATTTTAAAAAGGAAAGAAAAATCTGAGTCCTTTTTGAAGATACATACTAAAATATTTATAGCCTAAAAAAAGAGCTTGGTAAAGTAATTTAGTTTCACACAACAAACATATTTGGAGTGTCTGTTATATGCCAGATGCTGCTAGCTTCTGGAAATACAAAGCCTTTGCTAAAGCTTCTAGTCTGGTGATCGAGATGGGCAGATAATAGCTCAACTCAATGTGGCATGAGGTTCCAAAGAGCAGATCTACCTCTGTGCTTGGCTGATAACAGGCAATTGGTAAATGATGAATAAATTAACAAATCTAGAAAAGAATTGAAACTAGTACGAAAGAAAGGAAAAGGCCAAGTGGGAGTTTCTGGGAGAAAATTAACAAGCCTGGATGGGAATGGTGAAAGGAAGGAGTGCATTAAGAAGGACTTTTCAAATCCAAAGATTGATAACATTTTGGGTTTGCTGCAGAATTGGATGTCAAATTATCTATTCTAAAAGATTCCCCCAACCCCTTGTAAGAGTCTGCTTAAAAATAGCACACAAAAACATACCTAGCTTGAGTATGAGAATTTTTACCAGGTTGCAGTGTTTTCTTTGGTAAATAAAAGGGTTTTTTTTGTTTGTTTGTTTTGAGGCAGAGTCTCACTGTGTCACCCTGGGTAGAGTGCTGTGGCATCACAGCTCATAGCAACCTCAAACACTTGGGCTTAAGCAGTTCTCTTGCCTCATCCTCTAAAGTTGCTGGGACTA